AGTGACAAATTTATTTAAATAAATTCTATTAATTGTATCATTAGTGATAAATTTATTTGCATAAATTCTATTAATAACTGCTAATTTAATTGTATTAATTTTAATAGTGGAGACAAATTTAATTGTATTAGCAGCGAGAAATTTAATTGTTTAATTTTCACATAACAAACGTATGCAGAAGAGAGTATTTTTAAAATGTCGTCAGAAAGGTATTTTTTAAAAAAAAAACATGTTTTGTTTACATCAGCAAAACTATATTTATGCAGAAAAATAGTTTACATATTTCAACACTTCAACAATAATATAAACTGATAAATATCTGTAGTGACAAGTTTTATTGTGTTATTAGTGACAAACTTATTTAAATGAATTATATTATTAGTGAAAAATTTAATTGTACCATTAGTGACAAATTTGTTTGTATAAATACTGCTAATAACTACAAATTTAATAGTATTAATTTTAATAGTAGAGACAAATTTAATTGTATTAGCAGCGAGAAATTTAATTGTATAATTTTCACATAACAAACACACATTTATCTGTAGTGACAAATTTTATTGTATTACTAGTGACAAATTTACTTGAATAAATTCTATTAATAACGACAAATTTAATTGAATCAGTAGTGACAAATTTATTTGTATAAACTCTCTTAATAATGACAAATTTAATTGTATTAATTTTAATAGTAGAGACAAATTTAATTGTATAAGCAGTGAGAAATTTAATTGTATAATTTTCACATAACAAACACACATTTGCAATTTATATAGAATTGCATCTAGAACACAGTTATAATATTATATTGCACAGTCATCGAGTATATTGCACAGCAGATTATTCAAAAATATTAAAAATATTCATTAATTTTAATTGTTTTTTTAAAGATCTTTGGAACGCGGAAGTGTTGGAAGATCTTAGAAAGTGCTGTCTTAAAAACCTAATAACGGTAACCAATGAAAGACGAAACTCAATAATTTAACAATCCTTTAACTCCATAATTTAACTTTACTTGAATATACTTTTTTCTATCACTATTTGATGTACCAATTTTTTTTTGAAGTAGAAATACATTATATTTTTATGTTTTAAATTAAAGTGCGAAGATCCATCCTTTTAAATCCACACGAAAAATACAATCACACTGCACTGTTTCCATGATTTTATCGATTTCTGTAAAAAGAAGAAAAAAATCTTACCCTAAACTAATATTATGTGCAGTTTTATGTTCTCAAAATTTCTTTTAGGAAAAATTTTGAAAAGAACTTAAATCTTTCGTAATCAAACAAATCTATAAAGCTTTACCTATGAACAACCAAATAAAGTTTACTTATTAGATTACAGTACTCAGTGAAATGGTTAATTTACAGCCAAACTCTTAATGTAACCGAAGCCAGTATAACTTTCTTGGCCAGTTTTATGGTAGATGGCTCATAGAGTCTTCCTCACGATGCATTCTTATAGTCATAAAGCCCTTATATCAGAACAGTTCAGTTCCATCGATCTAATTTGCATATTTTGGTCGATCCAATCACTTTTAAGCTCCTTTTATGATATTTGTTCATTCATGCTGGTGATTCGGCTAAATTTCGTCGTATAAAGTAACATCTTTTGCTCTTATTTCAAGGGTTTCATTTAAAAGATACTGCTTGGAATCAATATGCAGAGTACTAGGTTGTAAAAGTTTAATATTTTCTGCTGCATATAACATGAATATGGATTCACAAAGTATATAGGTCATGCAAATCTGACTGCATTGCATGCACTGCTCATGATGATTGTAAAACCAGTGTATTGTTTGATTTAAAATTTGTTTAAATAACTAAATGTATAACGAAACATAGTGTGATGAATTGTATTTATTTTTTCTGTATTTTAAAACATGTATGTGCATTTTTGAAAGATATTTTCAGTGCAAATATGATTACATTCATAAAACTTATTTCCTGATTAGTTTTTTTATCTTATGGAGAGAGCGAAAATTGTTCACTGTAATGTATAATTAAGAAAACATTTTCAAGGATGTCCTGTGCATAATTATAAATCAATCGATTGTTTACGATTTCTTTTCAAAATCACACAGATTTGCTGAAATTCATTACTTTTTCATTATTTTTGCTTTATAATACTCATAAAACTCTACGTAGAGGAGAGATTACCAATTAGACATCATACTAATATTCATAGTTTTTACAGGAAATATCAAAACTTATTTGCCAAAAATTGTAATTCGATATATTTTATTATAACTGTGAAATATAAAAAAATTCTTTAATCAAATAGTCCATAAAATAATTCCTAGACAAATGTATAGACACATGCAAAACTGTAAAACGAACGGGAATTTTTCACAGTTCTCGGATAACGGATAAAAGCAGAAAAAAAAATTCTTTAAAAAATTCTCTCTATAAAAAATGCATTTTTCTTCTGTAGAATATACAGTTAATTTTCTGAAATTCTAAGAATTAAAAAAAATTATCTAAGAAGCACTGAAGCAAAAATAAATATGCCTCATCTCAAATCATATGTAAAAAAAGGATTTATATTGCGATTGAAAACTTTCGTGAAAAAACTAAAAATCTAAAACTATTACATAGAAAAACTATGTCGTCATATTAACTCGATATGCTGAAAAGGTATGCATGAAATTTATTTGGTATTTTAGTCAAAAAAAATGCTTGATACGAGAATCAAATTCTGGAAGCATTTTTAAGCAATTTGATAGTAACTAATATAATAGTTATTCAAACTGACAAATTGCTTCTAAAAAATTGTGTAACTGGATCCTTTTTAACACGTTTAATCTGTAAATCCCGCTTTCTTAAATTTAGGTCTATATAACAGTTTTGTTTTAGAAAAAAATAAATTGTTACCTTCAATATACAGAAAACAAATTTTTCCTATTTTGAAATAGTCATTTTTAAAGTAAACTATTTCATTTCCTTTACCTCCAAAGCAAACACCCAAAAAGTGAACTAAACCTTTTGTTTCCCTTTGTAGACATTTATTTGCTTCTAATTTATTGACGTCACATTTTTTCTAAATGATTTCTAAAGACTAAACCGTTTCCGAGTAATTTATGTTCAATGAATTTAGTGTGACAATTTGTAACATTCGACTTAATTACGTAATTGAGTGTTTCTAAGTGCTTTGTTTCGCACTAAAGTAATTGTAGAAAAACCAAAAATTTATCCAATTAATATAGCATCGAAAACATAGGAAAGCAGTTAATAAAAATATTTTGAGGCATTTACAACATCTATTCAAAGTGGTTTTTAATTAAATAGAAGTAGCTAACTTTATATATATATATATATATATATATATATATATATACAC